TATATATATATAAAAGAAAGTCGTGTTAGTTACACTATTTATATCTCAAGAACGGCTGAACCGATTTGGCTGAAAATTGGTGGGGAGGTAGCTTACAATCAGGAGACGGACGTAGGATAGTTTTTATCCCGTTTCCGTGGAGTTGCGATGTTTAAATGGAACATATATTATTTGTCGTCAGATTAACTTGAAATGGTTAATGGTCTCTCATTTAATTTCTGAAAGACTTATCTCGATATTTGAAAAATTCAACCTCCAAAGGAAGGGGGTAAAAAGGTGTTGCAATTTTTGTTTATTTGTGGTTGAATTTACTTGAAACTTGATGTATATATGCTATTTGATATTATTAATCAAATGAAAAGAGGTTGCAACGTTTCCATGGGGTATTTTTTATTAGTACTCGGATTTACTCGAAGGTTGCTCATTGTTGAAATTAAGCATATACGTGTTTTGGCAATTTTTAAAAATCAACCCTTAACAATGAAATGATGTTGCTACTTTTGTATTTAAAATCTAACATGGCGACATTACATAAAATTAAAACGTTGTAAGGGTGAATTGGGAGTTAAAAGGTTTTATGAAGAAACAATATTAATTTCTGCGAGCTTTGAATGGTCAAAATTTAAAACCATCTTAAATCCATCATTTTACTTGGAGATTATCTAAACCAAATCGACCACGAATGTAAACAACACAATGATTATTTTACCTTTTTATCTCTGTTAGACATTAATAACGGAATATTATCCTGGAAGTATATATCTTTTGCACATTCACATAACACAGTTACCACTACAACTTACTAGTAAACACGCAAACTTGACCGAAACTAAATTATCAACTTTAAAACCAATATCAACATTGTTCTGTATTTTACGTATCCGAGACGGCGCAAGAAGTCTGTAAAACGATTTTATATGATTTTAACTATTTATTTTGCGATCTCACCCGCATTTGGAATCTTAACCCACATTTTGAACCTGATTTTGTAAAATGTTTTAGTCTACAGTGGTATTCCAAAGACATATTAGTTTGTTAATTAGGTCATTATCGACTTGTGTTTTTGTACTTTTAGATATTAGGTAGCTGTTTCCATTCCAACACGGTAATGTCAAATTGAAAACCGAAAATAGGGATATTCTCCTACATGCAATCACAGAAGGCGGCATCATTTTTGGAAAATACCAGAGGGTATAGAGAAATACGTACAAGTACCTTTAACCAGATTAGAAAAGTAGCAGATTTATTTATTACTAGTAAAACAATTAGATTTGACTTGTTTTCGTTCTTTATGTATTGAAAGGAGTAAATTAGCTATATTAATGGTTAAAAGTTTGTCCTTAATTATGGTAAAGCTCATACTGATTATCTGTACCTTCGATTTCATTTATGTTGTACGGTTCACTAAGCTCAGCAAGAATAGTCTTCGCGCTTCGTATATTTGAAAATCCGATGCAGTTGTATCAAACTTAACCTAACGCAAAGATGCACATTTTTTGAAATATCACCTGCTTATCTGATACTTGTCCTAAACTAACTAAATTCTTACAATCTTTCAAACCAAGCTTAACATCCTTTAAAAGCAAGGGCGTATGCAGGATTTTCGTTCGGAGGGGGAAGATGTTTAAAAAAAAGACAACGTATAAAAAGCAGCATTTTTTAAATTAAAAAAATTGTTTACAAAATACTGATTCTACAATCTAAATTGTAAAGTCAATGCGTCTTGAAGAACGTGTAAGACGACTGTTAATTTCCTGGTGATCAACTTTAATTGTACGATGAACATTTACTAACGCCATATCAGTCAGTCGATCTTCTGAAGTGAAAATAGGTTTTGGATCTTCTGAAAGGCTCGAGAAAGAACGTTTCCATTATAGGAAGAGTATTGGACGTCTCGAAATATTTGTAAACGTTATTAGAAAATTACAAGAACTGCAGTGGCTTAGAACATCAGTTAATGTCTTGAACTTCTGATAGTTTTCTTCGCTTGATTTCATTGACTAGTATTTTCGCCACATAATAAGTTCCCCTACAAACATTGCTTCAGATATGTCAAAAATTGCCGCTCAGCCTACTCATAACAGCAAGAATTCCAAAATTAACATGACTATTCTTTGCCGAAGTGACTGAGCTTTTTACTGTTAAGGTTTTTTATTTTTCTGTTCATCATCATACGGACGTCAGTCCTAAGATTGGTTGGATATTTAGTTCCACTTTTCTATCCTGAGCTAATGTTCCCATTTTCCTAAAACTAGAGCATCCCACATCCTTGAGTATTTGTGAACATTAATCTATTCGAGGTCTACCTCTACTCCTCTTAATTCTTGTTTCTGCTTCTAGTTTGTCTCTGACTCTTAGTAAGGTGCCCTATCAACTTATCTAGCCTGTTCCTGATTGACTTCCGTAGTAACCTTTGTTGTCCTATTCTTTCTAATACCTCCCCATTTCTACCCTTTTCTATCGAGGATATCCTCATCATTCGCCTATGACACCACATTTAGGGTGGGGTTTTAACTTAATAAGCCCCCCCCCACAGCTACGCGCTTTGCTCAAAAGCTTTAAATATTCTGGCCTTACTTATTCAACCTCCCTCCCTCACCTCTTTACCTATCTCCCAGTCAACCCTCTCCTTATCTCCAAACTTCTCCCGGTAGTCATAATCGCCAGGTTGATCTAGCAACTCGAGGAGGGTTTTTAGTCGGTAAGCGCTCCCATCAGGGGTGAATTCGACACTACCTCCCTTTTGGGGGTGTCTTTAGAAGATTTGCCCTCCTCGAGGTTTACTTAAGTCTTACTTATTTTACTTTATTGCCTCTACGAAAAGATGGCTGGAGGTATTTATACACATTTCCCTATACTACGTCACATTTTTTAAAATATGATGTTCCTTTTTGATGATTGCATCTAATAGAATATCCCTATGTTCTGCTATACATATTTGTAGTATCATTAAAACAACTCATTAGATTGATTTCAATATTATATGTCTGTGTGGGTATTTATCAAAATTGTTGTAAATTATATTGATTTATTAGAGTAAATACAAAACGGGACTATATTTACAGAATAATGCACATGCATATTGTAGGTAACGAGTATTTAATTAAGTTATTGTTATGCTTTTACGTAGGTGTATGGTGTATGGCAAAAAAGAAGAACGGTTTTAGCTTTTACTTATCGATAGTTAAACCTAGAAAGTAATGATGGGACTAGTAGATTGGTTTTACTAGTAAAAATGAACGTATATAGTATATATTTATAACTTATGCAAATTATTAATTTTTATGCTTATACGTACAGTAAAAATATTTTAAAAATGTACAGGAGCAGCAAATGATCGCAAATAGTTAAGGAAGGATGTGGGATATTCTAGTTTTAGGGAAATGCGAAGATTAGCTCAGGATAGGCAAATGTGGAGATGCGTGTCCAACCAGTTTTAGGACTGACGATCTTATGATCAAACAGTTTATAGGGATGAAACAACACATTTTTATCCTTACAACCCCACGAGAGAAGAATATTTTTGTATCTGATAAAAATTCGTTGAAGTAGTTTTCGAAAAATTGTTAAATGTGACTTTAAGAAGCTATAAGATAGAATTGATCGACAGTAGAATAGTTTTAGTGAACTAACAATAATGCTAATTTGAGTTTTAAATTTTGCGATACTTGCTTCCTAATTTTTGCATATTAACCGTAAGATATCGATCGGATGAGCTGCGCTGGGTACTAGGTACTATACCTGTCTTTCTCTTTCACTCAAGGAACACAGCGCACAAAACCAGCGCATTGACATGAGCAGAAACCCGAAAAGCAGACAATATCCAGTTGTCTGTGTCTGTACTAGCCAGTTTAAGACGAGATGGCGTATTGAGTGTTTGGCGTAAATAAAATTGTAAACAAAAACAAATCGTTTCATTTAAAACTCGTGTTGTCGAATAATTGTATCTGTAATTAAAGTTGTATTTGTATCAGTGAAGAAGAAGAACCTGGAATAAATGCTGTCTCTTCAGTTTAAGGTAAGATAACAGCATTTTGTTGATACTATCATCTATAAGCATCCTGTGAGACCTAGGGACCGAGACATTTAAATGACTGATGAGGATTAAAACTGTTTATTTAATTTTATTTAAGGTATTTTGAATTATTCTTAATAATAATAAAGGAATACGTGCACTGGATTTGAATAAAATGTGTATGCTTACACATATGTATTTTTGAATTTTTTCATATCTTAACTAGGTACCTACTTTGGTACCTATCCGTATTGTAAAATCTTCGTGCAGTAGTTATCTCCGGTATTATCTACGCTCATTCACTACCTGCACTGGGTATCTGCGGAAATAATGTATACCTGCCTATTGCTGGATGGCACAGGTAAACGAATTCTTTATGCCATCTGTTCGATTTTATTTAAATTCAAAAAGTTTAAAAATCAGAATAAATGGTACTTGTACCAGGTACATAAATTAGGAACGGTGTACTTGCTGAGGATAAACGAACTCTTGTCCCTAAACTAGGAACCTATTCTGAATGCAATGACCTTTCGGAAGGACGGTCACAGAAAATTATTCAGATAAGGCTGTATTTGGATATAGAGGTGCAGTAAGATGTCAGACGTACACATCTCTTTATGCTTTATTTATTTTGTAATAGTTTTTTATTGGCGATTAATATTAAAGAGGTACCAAGTTAATTTATGAGGTGGTTTTCAAGATCGCCTACATTAAGTAGGTAACTCTGTCTTAAAAAAGCAAAGGATTTCGTTTCCTGTAAGTTCCCAAGTTGCCTAATGGAAATTTTGAACTTTTATTTATGTGTACGTATGTATTGTCTTAATTCTAGTTTTTTTTTCATTTGTCTCCTCCACATGGAATCAGAAATGTAGTTACCTAAAGTAACTAAGGTGATTAATGGGCCGTAGTTTTATTGATTAACTTATTGATTTGTAACAATTTCTAAATTTTCTTAACAGTTTCTGCATTTTATTGCCGTTTCCAGCGATATTTTATTACAAAATGTTTCGCACTTAATGTGCTCTTCACTATACTGATTTAGCTATTCTTTAACTTACAAAGATTTGACAAGAACTTAGATTTTAACAATGAAAAGGTGAAAAATGGATCCAAACTTCGAGATGGTTTATTGCGGTGACATTCTGAGTGATGCACTTCACGGGGTTCTTCTATTGCCCAATATCGGCATTTCTGAAAATTAACAGACTCTACCACGATCAAATAAAAATGAGGTTTATCGCTCATCATTATTAATGGTTCATTATCATTTTTAAAAATAATTTGCATTTTCTCTGCGAAATGTGTAAAATCTCCTTTGTTCAGATGCTGGGCAAAATTAAATGGTTACATCTAATCTTTCATTTTTCGTAATGTAAAAATCAGCTGACCTTTTCTTATTTAAAATTAAATATTTTAGAAACATTTTTTTAGATTAATTTATTTAAATCTTATTAAAACATTGATATGAGTTTTACTAGGGTAAGATAAGGTAAATCCTAACAAGGTCAAATAAGTCGTGATCAACTAGGATAAGATCAGTAAATCTTATCAAGTCCGGATAAGATCAAAAGAGGCGTTACGTTAATATCACGCACTGCACATCAAGACCTAATAGGTTAAAGTAGGGAATTCCAGAAATGAGGTGTGAATGAGGCATGTCTCCTTAGGGTCAGATAGGTTTAAATAGGGAATTCCGCAATAAGATTGCCGTATCAGGGCCAGGTAGGTTAAATTAGGGAATTTCGTGATAAGGCTTGAATTAGACATTTCATGTCAGAGCCAGGTAGGTTTAAATAGACAATCCAGATCAGGGAATCGTCAAGTATAGCCCAGTAGGTGTTTTCACATCAGTAGTAAGGTATGCCTTGGTGCAGCCCGATCCGTTTTTTGCTTGAGCCGTTATTCATATTATGAATAACTTTTTTCTTATTATTCAGGTACATTAAAATTTATTTATGTTTTAGTCTGTTTTATTTTCCTTGGTTATTGACTAAACCCGTTCACATTTGGGGAAGGAAATTATGTATAAGTGGATTTTTTACCCCATTTCCGTTGGTCAATTGTTTGTAACCGCAAATAGGTAACTAATGAGCATCGCGTTTCGACACCTGATGGCTTCAGTAGTAAAATACGCTTTAATATGTTAGAAACGGGTCTCTTTTTATTTCGTCTTCTCGATTATCTTGCCACACTTCCGCAATTTATATACAGTCACAAGTATACGTTGATTAAATTATCGCATCGTAAATAGTTCATTTAGTACAATTAAAGTTCTTTATTAAATGGCAAATTGAATTGTAATGTAATATTAAATTGTTGTACAGAGGTCAATTTTTTCTTCTGGAGTGAAAATGATTCCAGCAATAATATTTTTTATAGGTAGGTATAAAAAATCGAACAGTTTCTCATTTAAAGCTGTTTTGTTAACTGTTAAAAGATTTTAGCTAAGTTGCCACATTTCTTTACAAAAAAAAATCAGAGAAAAATGAAGAAAAAGTTAATGGAAAATAGAAATGTTGGTACCTTTTCCGACTGACAGCTCCATCCGTTTTTTGTTGTTGTTTACGTTCAACGAACACCCACCGATTTTTAGTACAGCTATTAACCCATTTTAAATCGCCATTATTTGTTGAATAAATTGCAAAGAATCCATATATATCTTTTACCATTCTTTTTATTAAACCCTAGGCAAACATTTTCAGTCTCTCAGTGTCTTTCAGCGTCTCTAAGAGCGTCTCTCACAGTCTCTCAGTTATTGCTTAAGTGTTTTTATGGATCTCTCACAGTCTCTGTATGAGAGACTCAAACGATAAAATTGTTAATTCAGAGATTCGAGTCTCTCACAGAGAGACTGAATGAATAAAACTGAAAAATTGAGAGACTCGAGTCTCTCGTAGANGAACATTTTTATCTCGGGAAACTGGCCTATTGCAAAATTTAATAAATTCTAAATCTTAAAGTTTATAGAGTACCTTGCACTTATTTAGTAATTTCATGTAGTACAAAAAAATCAAATTTAGTGCTGTGGGGTTCAACTAACATCAAAAAACATCAACATCAAAACTCAAAATTCTACATCAATAAAAGAACTAAATCTCAATAAACATATGGATCAATTTAGAATGGTTTATGCCAAGATTGTTGTAAACGCTGTAGTTTACATGAATTTAATTTATTTCAATGAAACATGGAATTGCATGACTATATAAAGGATTTAGTGTATGGAAATGATTGTTTCAAGAGGCATTCCAACTTAGCGGATATAGCTATATGTATATTGCTACCAAGAAAGTCGATTACAATATAAGATTACAACGTATTTACTTTCATTATGGTAATTGCTTTGGACTACTTCTGTAAGTATAGGTGTTTGAAATTATTTTTATATTATTAAAAAAAGAAATGAATAATTACATTGTGGTAAGCTTAGAATACCCCGATTTGAAATTTAATCTTAGAATGTATTTGAGGGTTTGCGTAAAGATGGTAGTTGAAATTAAAAAGCGTCTATATTTTGGCTTCTGACTAAATAAGAGATACTTGTATGTATTTGGAAAATATTTTATCTATAGCAACACAAAAATACATAAACGTATCCAGAATTTTTCGTAAAAATTAACAATTTGTTTTCATAATTCTTCAATCAGTTAAATATTACAATATTTAGTGTAAACTCTCTATAACAACAACAACAATATAATAAATTATTTCATCATAATGAGATGTTTTATTATAATATTAAGGCAAAAAGGCTTGAAGTTCGTTACTGCTGACTGATCCTCAGTTACAAAATAATTCACCACATTTGATGAACAGTAAATTGGGGTTAATAGGTGATGGAACAACTTGTGGCAATAAAATTACTTTAATCGACACGTACAGGTTTTCATTTTATTATTTTTTTTCTGTGAAGTTTATTTGCAGTAACAAGGAATAGATTATGTGTCTATGTACCTGTGTCAGACAATTCTATTTATAGTTTTCGTCATTTCGCCTAAAGCTTTTTTGTTATGTAACAGTATACAGACAAAAAAAAAGACTTTAAGTGCACATTATTAAAAAGTTACTTAATGTTGGACATCTCTGTGTATGCCATCACAGTCACAAAAAAATATAAACTTGACCGTGAAAATATTTCCCATGTTGGATGCAGATCTATTGTTTAGTATCTTTGCAAAGGTAATTCTATTGGATGCATTCATTAATGGCTTAGTTGTAAGCATACATTTGAAGGTCATAACTGTTAGATAATTAGTTTATTGTTGTAAGCTTTGAATTAACTACAGAGAATATTTTATTAGAAAATTGGTTATATGTTTTTAAAGTACCTACAATAACATCATGTTGTATCAATTTACCTCGAATAAGTCTTGTTCCATCAAGCAAAACGTTGATTGTTCATTAAAAGAAAAATGATCTTTTTATCCTACTTAAAGTTTTGTTATTTTTTTCTTAATAGGAAACAAATGACAAAGGAAATTCGTGGTAAATGTATTCAAGAATTACAAATTGATTTATCTCACGATCGGTTAATTAAAAAAATCATAATATCAATCAGGGAACAATTGGCACTTAAATTTTACCAAAGTAACTATATACCTACCTAGTCATAAAGAAGCGGATCATATTCTGCCCTAACAATAATTGCGGTTAATTAAAACGCGATTGTGTTAATGAGGTCTCAAGCTACTTAATTGTTAGCTACCTAAATAAATACACTAATTACGAAAAAAAACAACTTTGAGTGAGCAGTGGACCATGCACGATTTAGAGTATAATAAGCCATTCATCTACACCAAAAAGCGACTAAATATAGTAATGTAATAATAGTGTAAGAACTGTAATTAGTCGCTAAAATAATACTTTTACCCTTTTTGTAGCTAGTCCGCCTCGAGCTGGTCAGCGAAAAACGATTGAAAAGTCCTCAAGCTGGCTCTATATACTAACGTATCCCGAAATAGAAATATCGAAGAAAAATACTGTATAAACTATAATTTGTCTGT